CTCCCACTCTTATTTGAACGTGGTTAATAATATCTAGTAAAAAGAGAATTCTACAAATTAATAATCACATTGGTAAATTTGCAGATTTAAGCCCCGCAGTCATGCGCGGAAGCTTACTTAGTTAACAGCATTTTTACTGATTTTTCTATCTTACACATCTCAATTACTGTGCAAAAGCAAAAGAAGTCTAGATATTTTTGAAAGTGAAGCTTTTATTGAATTCTCTTTTTTTTTTTCAATTTGTTTGAGTTATTTAGAAAATCAATGACAAGTGTTGTTTTTTTTTATAGAGAAGCTGTAATAATAATGAATTCTTGTTTAAATAATAAAACAAATTTTAAAAAGGTAGCCTTTCTGCAATTGTCATTGCTATTTTGTAAATAATCATGTTTAAATAATATTGCTTAAAATTGTTTATGTTATTAAGTCCTTTCTAGAATTTTTTTGTAAATAACCATGCTTATTTTTTGAAAAAAAATTGAACCTTAAAATTGTTTCTGTTATCATTAAGTCCTTTCTAGCACTTGTTTTTTTTATTTTATAAATAATCATGCTTTTTAAAACCCCAAATTTAATAACCAAAAACTTGGGTTACTTGAATTTTGCGTATTCATTTTAAATTAAAGTTTGTGCATTGTGTGCGCAATAATCAAGACAAGTGAATCTTTCGCACATGATTACTTGAGGCAAACATATATAAACAATGCCAGTAATAGCTGCTATGCCATGATGCAAATAAGGCCAAACTTATATTGTTGATAACTCCTAAATGGTAGATTTCTGTAAACTTTTACTGTTATTTTCAAAATATGCATGCAAATTTATACCAAAATGGAAATTTTCTGGAAATGTTAATTACAATTGGTTTGTGGGGCTTAATCTGAAAATTTACCATCACATGCCAAATATAAATAATTATTAATACCTATGTTCAGAAGTTGTTCTATTTTATGTCTGTGTTATCTGTTGGTCTATAGGTCATCTGCCCCAAGAGTTTTTTTTTTAATTTTATTCAGCTAATAATAGCAACAGAGATGTGGTTCTACGGAAGGACTCCGAGAATACCATAGATGTAGCATGTAAGCAATGAGGAAGTTTTAAGGAAAATAGAAACAAAAAAGGCCATATACATAGAATCAGAAAGAGACAGTTGAAATTACTACATGAAAACATAATGAGGAAAGAAGGCTTGGAAAATTTGATACTCACAGGACATATTAAAGAAAAGAGTGATAAAGAGAAACAGTGAGTAGCCTACCAAATGAACTTGTGTAAATGAATGAATGGCATGGAGTGGGTGGGATAGTAAAAAGGTAAATGTTGCTTTAAGTTGCAAGGGATAGGAAGTTGTGGCAAGCCACGACTGCCAACACCCTGAATGACATGGCACTTGGAAAGAAAAAGAAGAATATTCTTCTTCTGATCATGTCTAGCGATATCTCATTTTATTTATTACTGCCTGATTGCCAGTATGTTTAAGTTTGCACTACCCAGTCCAGGGATTGAACTCATAATTACTATATCACCAAATTCACAAACAAATACTTATTCCATTAGGCTATTGTCATGTGGGACAATCCTGAATCAAAAACTCAGAGCCTTATTCAGGGTATATGAATAATGTCCTAATGTCTGTATGAAGAATGAGTCGCAGAGAGTCCTTCATTAATTGGTGTGAGACAGCATGAATAGACTTAATGGAAACAGAATGACCAAACTTGGGGAATGGTTCCCGCTTTCTGATCTGCACCAATTAAAACTATCTTCTTGTAGATTGTTTTTCAAATAGCTTTATATTATTTTTAATTTTTTGATAACACCGCTGGTACTATTGTGTTGAGCTTATGCGCAAAAAATCCATTTACACATTTCTTTCATTGTCCTGTAACTTCTTTCAGCTAGTTTCTCTAAGAAAGCTTCACTTGTCTTGATTATTGTGCACATAATGCACAAACTTTAATTTAAAATGAATGCACAAAATTTAAGTAACCCAAGTTTTTGATTATTAAATTTGGGGTTTTAAAAAGCATGATTATTTATAAAATAAAAAAAACAAGTGCTAGAAAGGAGTTAATGATATCAGGAACAATTTTAAGGTTCAATTTTAAAAAAAAAAAAGCATGGTTATTTACAAAAAAATTCTAGAAAGGACTTAATAATAACATAAACAATTTTAAGCAATATTATTTAAGCATGATTAAAAAATGATAACACTGGGATCTGCTTGAAAGCTAAAAGGTGCTGCAGATTCACGGAGACTTGCTCTCATTCATTTTTCAATAATAACCACCAGTCATTTTATATGAGCATTGGAATGTATGAACTAATATTTCAGTCATTATTGGAGTACTTGGAATGGTTCCAAAGACACCAAGAAAGAGGCATGAGAATGGAAATTAAAGTAAGACTATGAAACATCTCGATGGCATTATTGAAAACAGCTTGCTGTCATTTTAACTCCAGCTGGTGTGAACACACAATGAGTGAAAAATAATAATTACACGAGTGAATAATAATAATAATTACATAGTTTAGATTTTTTACATTATTCGGACTATTGTCCTTATCTTTGTCGCCATATTTATTACAACATTTTGGCCGTTGTATGTTCCAGCCTTCTTCAGGCGATTGGAATGTCAAACTAAACCCTTTATTTCGCTCACTGGGATAGACTATTCTAGTTCCATGTGCCATGTTTAATGGATATCAGTTATCTCCTGTTAATTTCCCTCTGAAAGTTCTCCACTACCTTAACCAGGTATTGAACTCACACTCTTTGGGTCCTGTCATTGGATCTAACCAATGCCTTGTGTCCTTGAGGACATCTGTGTATGAATTTCTGGGTATTATAAACCTAATGTTTCAGCAACCATTTTTACCAGTGCTCATATTGCAATTTTTTTTGCTGTTATCATTCCATGTTTTTATAACAGCTCATATTGCAACTTTTGTTGTTACTATCGCTTTTCTCTGGCACTCCTTATTACTGGTTCCCAAATTGTATTCATTTCTATGCTTGCTCAGCTCAGAAGATTTTGTGTCCAAGCATATGTGCTGATTCCTTAAGTTTACAAATTTTCTAATGGTGTTCCTTGTCTATGATCTCAACTTGATCCCACAGAGGGCGGTGATCTCCCTTCTCTTTCCATATGTGGTCAGCCACGCCTGATTTTTCTACTTCCCCTTGTGTGACAGCTTTTTGGTGTTCTTGAAGCCTTACCTTAAGGGGGCAGCCTGTCTCCCCTTTATATTTCTTTCCGCAGCTGCACGGGATAGTGTATACACAGTCTTTAGTCATGTTCTCCTCTATGGGGGGTCTTACTCGGAAGAGATATCTGCGAAGTGTTGTCAAGCTTTTGAAGGTTGTCCTGATGTTATATGGACCACAGATCCTTTGTATTTTCTCTGATAACCCCTTCACATAAGGCAGGCAGCCTGTTTTCTGAGTGTTGTTGTCCTCCTCTTGTACCCGCCTATCCCAGTTTTTTGGGGCTGCTGCTATGTACCCAGGGTAGTTGTTACGTTGTAGGGTACTACTTATACTGACCAATTCTTTATCTAATGTCTCTGGGTTGCCACTTATGATTTTTGCTTTTGTTCAGTTCGACATTCCAACCACCTGAAGAGGGCCAGAGCGTAGAACAGCCGAAATGTTGTAATAAATATAACAACAAAGATGAGGACAATAGTCCAAATAATGTAAATAAGGTACATAATACCTCATCTCAGAAATATAAACAGATTTAGATTTTTTGTTACTAATAAACACACATAGACTTGTTAAGATTCTCTTCTTTTAATTAGAATATAACTGTTGTGATGCCCTAAGTCCTTTGTGTTACTACTCAATGCTCATGTGTAGTAGTTTTCCTCCTCCTCCTAATTGGAGTCATTATATTACCTGGGTATTCCAGATATGTTAATTGGTTAATCTACATATCACTACATCTCCCTGTAATGAACGTGTTTTGTGCCCCTTGTTTTTATTATGCTTCTTCTAAAGATCATTCCGTTTTCAGAGTTTTTTTCTCTCTACCGGGATCTTATAGAATTTCTTTCTCTGGGAGATTTTGATATATCTCATTTTTCCCCCCACAAAATAATTCCTATATTTGTTTTGTCTTTTTTTTTTTCTCAATTCTTTCCACTTTTGAAATCTGTACATTGTTTGAAAATCGTTCATTTTTACACACTTTTCCAAATACAGGACATTTCTATTCCTTCATGTCATGTTCATATTGACACAATCTGTATTTTGTTATGTTTTCTTCAACATGTAAGTCAGCAACCTACGGTCAATTCTCTGACTTATTAAATTTTTTTATTAGTTCCTGCTGTTGAATAAACTCTATGCAGGTAGACAAAGACAGGTTTCCCAGCTGTAATTGTTCTAACATTTTATAGTGATGTGTTGCATTATGCAGTCCGCATATTTTTTAGACAAAGTAAACATTTTGTAACTGCTTCATCAGCTTCTTGTCTCATATCCATGAGTTTTGCTCTCTCTGCAATGACTAATCACTTTTTTGGTCACATATTTTTCAAACTTTCCAACTGCACTGGGTGAGACATACTTGAAATTTTCATAATGACCTCGACCCCAGCTGTGACCAAAAAAAAATAGATTGGTTATTTTATTTTCTCTTCCCGTTTCTTTGTTGTCTCTTAATTTCTTAGCCACAAACGTTCTTATCCATGAAATCAGGATTCTCTAATGATAAGCCATTGTTGTGAAATCCTTCATGCTCATGCGTAGTAGTTTTTCTCCTCCTCCTAATCAGAGACGTTATATAGCCTGGGTATTCCAGATATGTTAATTAGTTACATATCGCTACAATAACATTGTCTTTAAGTGCAGGCATTTAAATTTGGTATTTGTATTTTGTTATCTTTATATCTTACATATTTTTATAGAAAAGAATTTAATTGATTTTTTTTTTTTTTTATTGAGGTTTTCATGTCATTCTGAAAAATGATATTTATTTATTTTTTTTTTCCAGATATCTTTGAACAGATTGGAAACACTCTTCGGCAAAGGATTATGATATTTGATGGTGCAATGGGAACAATGATTCAAAAATATCAACTTGATGAAAAAGATTTTTGTGGTACTTTACTGGCAGATAATCCAAAACCCTTGAAAGGAAATAATGATGTCCTTACCCTGACCAGACCAGATATTATTTATGATATTCACCGAGTAGGTTTCATCATTAAAGATGACATAAATTTTTTATTTTTATTATTATTATTTTTTTTTTTACTGTTGTTCAGACAGTACAAGGCCCAAGAGCCACTCAATGTAGAGAGTTATTGAATATGGTTTTGTTGAAAGGAGATAACAGTTGACTTCAGACTTGTAGAGGTGTATTGATTGGGGAAGAATACTTTCAGAAATTTGTCTTACAAAGTTGTGGATTTTGGGAAAAAGCTGTCCAAATTGAACTTCCTTAAATTTCTGGCAAACAGTGGCTGACCACCACTGTCAATTTTATGCATTCATGCAATCGTCAGGCACCTGATGATTACATGAACGCATGAAACTGACAGTTATAGTTGCCCACTGTGAGCTAGAAATTTAATTAATAATTTAGTAAAGCTCTGCCATGTTTATATGGCATGGACCACTTTTTCTTTCCAGTGTGCATCCACAGCAGACTCATTTTAAGAGCTGATTATTTCTATTAATATTACATGAGTGTGTGTGTGTGTATATATATATATATATGTATATATGAAGAAAAATATACAGGAAAAAACAAACAAAAATCTTAATATGTAATTATGCTGTATTAATGTTAATATAAAGTCAATGTCGGACGTTTCGGTCTATTTTAGACCATCTTCAGGACATATTCATAAAACATAATTAACATTAGAACATATAAAATTCAACATGAAAAAGACGATGGACATAAGAGCACAACTAATCCAAACAGATAACTGAAATTTTTTATATAAGATCAGCGTTCTGTTTAAAATATGATCACGTCGTCGTCACGTGGGCGATGTTGTGAAAACGTATTTGAAGATGATTTCAAAATATTAAAATATTAAACAAACTCGATTGAACTATTTTCTCATATAAACAGTTCGTCAAGAAATCCCTTCCGTTGATATAGGAATATGCAGAGATCAATAGGTTCTTATATTTTCATACAAGCTTGAAGTCTTCCATGTTACAAAGTAAATCAAAAATGATTTCAAAATATTAGACAGGCACGATGGAACAATTTTAAACAGTTCGTTAATAAATCCTTTCCTTATTTACAGGAATAGGCTGAGATCAATAGATCCTTATATTTTCGTACAAGCTTGAAGTCTTCCATGTTATAAAGTAAATTCAGGTTTGTATTTTCAGTAGACAGTATGTAAGCAAATATATGGATATAGATCCGACAGTATGAAGAAAAATATACAGGAAAAAACAAACAAAAATCTTAATATGTAATTATGCTGTATTAATGTTAATATAAAGTCAACATCAGACGTTTCGGTCTATTTTAGACCATCATCAGGACATATTCATAAAACATAATTAACATTAGAACATATAAAATTCAACATGAAAAAGACGATGGACATAAGAGCACAACTAATCCACATACGACGTGATCATATTTTAAACGAAACGCTGATCTTATATAAAAAATTTCAGTAAATGCTCTGTTTATAATAAACAGTATTAAATAACATTTACCGGCCTGAATGTCCGAGAAATTTTCAGGCCGGTAAATGTTATTTAATACTGTTTATTATAAACAGAGCATTTACTTAAATACTTGTATCTATAAAAAAGAACGTTAAACATAAAAATGTCTTTAATAAATAAATTGTCGGACTTTATCCATTTCTTAATATATGACGTCATTTGTTTACATTTGATACGCCAGAGCAGTTATGAATGTACGAGATTCATGGAAGATTGAAGTTTATAAGCAGTAAATTCGACCTTGTCTACCAAACGCTCCTTTGTGGCGAAATCGGTTAAGGCACATCAGTGTAAATGACGGTTCCATTATAGGATGCAGGTTCGAATCCTGTCAAAGGACGAATATTTTCTATGAAAATTTCTCGGACATTCAGGCCAGTAAATGTTATTTAATACTGTTTATTATAAACAGAGCATTTACTTAAATACTTGTATCTATAAAAAAAGAACGTTAAACATAAAAATATCTTTAATAAATAAATTGTCGGACTTTGTCCATTTCTTAATATATATATATATATATATATATATATATATATATATATATATTAATAATAGTAAGTAAAGTCAATCTTTAAATATCCATTTTGGTTATAATTTATTTCATGAATATATTCATCTCTTCAGACTGATGTTTTTTTTTTAAAAATCAATTTGTTGAGTCAAAAGGAAAAGGGAGAGGAAAAAAATTATATTAAAAGAGGGAGAAATATTACATTGCGCTCTCTTTGGAGTATCAGTATATATATATATATATATATATATATATATATAAAAACAAACACTTTCTGATCTTTTGTCATTGGATCTGATAAAGTAATTATTGTCCCTCTTATACTCAAAAATTCCATTGCATTTTCTTTAAACACAGTTTTGTCCTTCATCCGACCTGAAGAAGCCAAACCCAGTGTCACATTCAGTGAAGCATGCCATCTATTAGCTTTTCCACTTTATCTCATCATCTCCCCCACCCCTCTCTCTCTCTCTCTCTCTATATATATATATATATATATATATAGCTATCTTTCCCTCTCTCTCACTATATATATATATATATATATATATATATAGCTATTTTTCCCTCTCTCTCACTATATATATATAATACATCAGGTATGTATATTTGTGACTAACATCTATAATTTTTTTCTGTATTAGATTTATCTTCCTTACATTGGTGACACCAGGTGGCAGTGTCTTTGTCATGATAATGGTTGACTCTTTTAAGATGTTTACAAAACTGGCACATGAATAAATTGACTCTTTGAAAAAGCATAGTGCAATGATAATTGAAAAAATACATTAAAAAGATTTACATCGTAAAATCCTGTAATAATCATAAGGATTTAATAAAATATGCCACCATTTTTTACAGTTTGTGTTTAGTAGTGACCTTTATAATTCTGTATTGTATTATTGAATAGTAAAGGTCTCAAGTTGTATGAATTTCTTTGCTGAAGTAATAATAATTAATTTTTGTTTATTCTTCATTTCATTATTATTGTTGTGTTTTATAATAATTGTGAGATCATTTTAAATTCTATGATTATTAAGTAGCATTGATTGGTAATAAATAAATGGCTATAGAAATATCTCCACTAAAGCTAACCATGGGGTTTTAGATACGTAGATGATACCTTCATACTAAAGGACCACCAGAAAGATGTGCAACATTGAACCATGTGAACTCAGTAAGCCCTTCCATATAGTTCACAATTGATAAAAGAAGCAGATCACATGACCTTCCTTGATGTACTAATAACTCATACAGAGTATGGGTTCAAAACATCTATATATCATAAGCCATGGGATGATACTGAAATTCAATTTCCATCATCCATACAGTGTTAAAGAAGGGTTCAACTGTTGCCTACAACAACATTGGGCTAAACTTATATATGGTGACCCAGATACATGCCAACAGATGAAATGGACAGCTAACAAAGGGGAATATGACTAGTGGTTATTAACTGATACAAGTTATCTCCCCTAAGCATGGAACGCGGAATGAGAACCTCTTAACCCTGTGGATTGAATAAAGGGTTTCGTTAGAAATTCTGGAAAGGTTCCTGAATTCAAAGACCAACACCTGAAGAAAACTGGAAGGTATAATGGCTGAAACATTCAGAGTATAACAACTTGTTGGAGTGAATATGCAATTCAGTCTTGTTAAATAGAATTATTTTACAATTTATGAAATAATCCTATTCTTATCTATGTAATCTTTTATTTTTCTGTATATTTATTTATATTCTTCTATTGTTCAACTTTTGTTTTTCTGTATCAGAAATATTTGGAGGCCGGAGCAGACTTTGTAGAAACAAATACCTTCAGTGGAACACGAATTGCTCAGGCTGATTATGGTCTGGAGCATCTGGTAAGTTGTTTATCTTCATCTCTTTATATAGAAAACTGATGAGCATGTAGAGATTGAAACACTCTGACCCCTTTCAGATGGACATTGAATGACAAAAGCCAAATAACATTTCTATTTAAGTTGAGTTAAAATATATTTCTTGTTTTATTTTGAGAGTTACCAGGAGTCATCAGGGGTTTCTAAAATCTTACTTATTATAAAACCCAGGTTGTGTGTGTGTGTGTGTGTGTGTCTGTATGTTTATATATTGGATCGGATTCCCTACATTTTTCAACCGATTTCAACAAAACTTCACAGGACTACGTAAAATTACCTTGCGGTGGTTCTGACAGCACCAAAAATTGGAAAAACACAATTGTTTTTGCACAAAATTAATTTGAAAACACGATTAAGAGGCATCGCGAGAATGAAAGAGGGACAACTCATATCGAGTTATACTTATTATAAAACCCAGGTTGTTTGTGTGTGTGTGTTCGTTTATATATGGGATCGGATTTCCTACATTTTTCAACCGATTTCAATAAAACTTCACTTTTTTTGGCAGGTAGTGTTTCTTATTGTCTTGCACACTTTTTTCTTTATTTTTACATTCAGAATGCTTTAAAAATTCCATTTACAAGACAATTGTTTATAATAAAATTCTATTCAATCAGTAGACTCATAATGATTGAAAACAATGTTTTTGTTGGAGTTTGGGTTTGACCAATTCATAAAAAAAAAAAAAAATAATTAAGACATGCGTGTCCATCAACCTTAAACAATAATCTTTGTCAATTTTATTTTTCAGTCTTTATGATGGTCGATACTTGATCTATCTCTTACTGTTACATCCCTGGGCAATGCCGGGCTCTACTGCTAGTTATTTATATGTTAGTACTTGTAGATGGCTTGGGTAATATAAAAAGTTTGGTTACAAAAAAATAAATTTATTTTTGGCATTAACTTTATTGAGAAACCTATTTTACCATTTGGTTCTACTTTTTTCTGCTATCTTTCAGACAACTTCATAATTCCATCCTCCTAGAATTTTTATTTTTATCTTTTTGACCAAAGAATTTGATGAGATACCTTTTGCAGTTTTCCAGGGAATTGAAATGCACTGAATAGATGCATTTTATTTATTGCTGCCTTTATTTGGAGCAATACTTGTTCAAATCTGCTTATTCGTTCTCCAGAAAGAGCTTGTCATCAAGAACTCACTTTCAGTCCTGCCATATACCTTGTACCACTTGGTTTTGATTAATACTAGCCTTTGCAATGGTTCATTGTGCTTATTTCATTATCCCAAGTCTTCTATTTTTCATTGGCCATCGCAATTCTTTTCACAAAGAGAATCTTTAAATATTTCACCTGTGTGAAAGTGACTAACATAATCAAACTGGCGCTAATCATTTTTCAACACTTGATTTGCATACTGACTATTATTGCATAATACTGTATTTGATTGCCTGTCCATCTCAACTCGTCCACCCAATAGTGGAGCACCAGTCTGCAAGAAGTCTCCACTTTTTACATGTTTAATCAGTTACATTACTTGTTTCATAAAATAGGCAAAGTAAGTTTGTTTGTTTTGTTTGTTTAATGGCATATCAACTTGTTATGGGTCATTTAATGCTGAAATTTCATTTTCTTGGGAGCTTGAAAGTAATAAATATATATTATTCTGCTTTCACAATTGGACACATGGTAGATAATTCTCAGCTTTTGTGTATATACATGTTTGTGTTGACATAATTACTAGAGGCAGTGATATGTGTATTTTATGTTGTAGTTTTGTTGAAGTTATATTTTAGAATAGAGTTTGATTTCTTTAATTGCTCCTCAAAACCTCCAATCTCCCGATCAGAGGCCTTGCTGTTGGATGTAGTTTATCATCATACCCAGGACTAGGCAAAATATGACATGATGATAAAATAATAATAATAATCAGCAGATACAAGTAATTGAGATATTATACATGTGTATATTATGATAATAATAATGATAACATTTAAATAGTAGTATCATTAATAAAAAATAGAAATATAAAATGGAAAAAAAAATGTCTTATAAAAAATAAAAATGAAATATATATGCATATAATAAACATTTATATATATATGTATGTGTATATATATTTAATTTTTTTTTACTAATTTGTTCACCAAGTACAAGTCTCAAGAGCCACTCAAGATAGAGGCTTATTGATAGAAATAAAAATATAGGCATAGAGGAATGTAACATATAAGCATTCATATATACATAATCTGGGTCCTATTCAATTATTAACATTTTAAAAGAATTGCAGTTGTTTTAGTTGTGATTTTTGTGAAAAGTTTAATAATTGAGAATTCATAAATCTTTGTTTATTCTTAAATTGTGGGTATTAAGTTTGAGAATGTAATTGTTTTTGAATTTTCAAATATTGAATTAAAAGATGAGGCTAGACGGACACAACTAACATTGTCTGCATTATTATTAGGTCAGTTGAAATGCTGTGCAAAAGTAAAGCAATTGGAATTGTCCTTGACATTTTGTGATTGTTTAATTCAGAGCTGGTCTCACCAACAGATTGCAGAAAATCTTGTAGAATATGTTAGAACTCTCACAGGTAAAATGAGCAGAGTGTGTTTTAATTTTTGTACCTGTGGCAATGCAGGTTTCATCAGTAACAATATGTTTACAAATATGGCATGTTGGTTTTTCACACATATAGTTACCTTGGAGAGTATTCGGTTGTTTTAGTTTGAAAGATGAGAGCAGTGATAGTAAATTAGGTGGTTATTATCTTGCATTAAGTAGAGAGTTTTCAAATATGTTATTAATTAGGAGATCAAGTTAAAGATTTTGAAAGTCTCTTTTGAGGAAATAGACGATTGATTTATTGATTAAGATTAAAATCAAATGACATGGATACTCATAGGCTTTGTATTTTATTTTTGTAAATTAAAGTCTGTGGGAAAATCTATTTTTTATTGATTCTTTCATGAATTCTAGTTGTTAGATGTTATTGAGGAAGTGGTAGTGAAGAAGATTTTAAACCTTTTTATTTATATAGTATATAATTTATATTAGGAACATATATGGATGTCATATATATATATATATATATATATTAGTGATGGGATGATTTATTGGAATTGAGAATTGGAAATATTGGAACTTTTTGGGGATATCAGAATCAGTATCACAATTGGAAAATTTTTAACCTAATTTGGATTTTTTTTTTTTTAATTTTCCATTCCTGGTACAAATGATATGAAGATATAAATATTTATTGATTTTAAACTATCAGTAAAACTAAAATTTAGAGATAATAACACCTAAGTATGATGAAAATTTATTTGTGTAAAAAAAAAAAAAAAAAAAAAGTTATGTGCAAGTTTCTACTCAGTTCTTGAACTTTCCATAAAGTTCACTAGTTTCAGTTCAATATAAAAGTTTTATTTTTAATTTCTTTTTAAACATTGTTAATTCACCCATTTAACATTATTATTAATTAGAATCAAAATTATGTAATATAACCACAAAATGAATTCATTTTGCTGTTCTGTTGGGCTCTCTTTTAAGACAATTTTTATTATTTTTCTTTATAATTTATATAACAAAAAAATAAATGTATAGAATTCCTGTCAATGTCACATTTGATTTCTTTACATAAAAAAATTGACCTTGTGTCACAAATTGTCCTCATGGTGAGGCAGTTAAATTACAATTTGTTTTTGTAATAGTTTTAATCCATAAAATCATTTTTAGTCTCTGTTATTGAAAAGATTTATTTTTGTTTACATAGCATACTACATAAATAAAAATAAATTTTCTTTTCAATAATCAAGGCTTAAAAAAGTAAACATTCTTTTTATGAAACTTAAATTTGTTTCTACAAAATTCATGTATTTCTTAAAATTTTATAGCTTTTGAAATGGATTTTCATCTTTATTTATAAACAAACTTTTATTTAAAGTTTCCTGAAAAAAAAACTTTTTCACACAAGAGTTTTTAACAAAGAACCTAAAATTTAATTTCCATCAAAAATTGTATTTAATTTTATTTTACTAATAATTTTTTGGCATAATTGAACTTTCCTGTGTTAAATTATTTTGGCATTTAAAATATTTTTTTTTCTTATTTATTCCTCCCTGGAGCCAAACGAGATGCAAGTTTTATAAGTAGAAGTGTATAAAAAAGTTAAAAACGAGTATTTTTATCCCATTTTTATCTGGCATGATTAAGCTGTATTTTTTTCCATTTTTAACATAATTTGTTTTAATATTTTTAAAATAAAACTAGTAAAGTTTCATCTAATAATCTAATAAGTAACTGAAAAAATCGAGCCCATGCTAAAAATACATGTACAGTTGTTCTCATCCTTATTTTAATCATTTTTAATCTTATTTTTATTTCAATACTTTGTAACAGTTGAATCTCATACCTTATAAAATGATCAAGTTGGATATCTGCATTATTTAGCTTTCAACTTTTTAATATTTTAAAAAAAATATTGTAAAGTTTGCTGAGATTACTCATATCTCTTTAAAAAAAATCAAGGAATCGGTTTCTACTCTTTTGTTATTTTAACAAAAATAAAACACTTTTTGATTTTTTTTTAAATTATTAAATCTTTTAGTTGTGAGAAATTTATTTTAAACTAAAACTTACTAGTGATTAAATTTTTTAGATAAGATAGAAGACCCTTTATTATTTATTTATTAAGTTGCTGTGATAATTCATATTTAATTCTTATTAAACGTCTGTAAACAAATTTAAAATTTGCATTTATTTTTTATTTACTGTCCTGTTGGATTAGGTGTTCCTTGTACTTTATCAAAATATATGCATGTTAAACCACAATACACAGGATGTTGCCTTTCTGCTTAGAGTGTTATTGTTGCAATAGTATATATATATATATATATATATATATATATATATATATATATATATAAAAAAAAAAAAAACACCACTTTAAGGTTCCATGTAATAAATTATTTCACCACAGCCCTTTTAAAAGGACTGCGGAT